TTGGTTAACGTGGTTGTGAAATGGGGTGTTAAATTGCGACTTACTTGGGTCGATGGCTAAATTGGTTAACGTGGTTGTAGGAGGGGGTGTTAAATGAGTGAACACGTACACACGTATGCGAAAGGGCGGCGCTGGTCGAAGGGACGTCGATCATTGTGTTTGTGGATTCGTTGGAATTCATTTCACCGCGACCTTGGACGTCGACGCGCCGTACAAACCAACCGACGAGCGGCAACTGAGCGAGCGAGCGCCGACCTTGAGTATATATACAGCACGACGGCGCATGCACTGTCAGCTGTTGAATGTTCTCGAAGCGCGACGCCACATGCGCGTCCACTGGAGAATCAGGAGAATTGTAGATGTCGAACGCGGTGTGTAGAGGAGGAAGGGTGCACAGATGGTGGAGGAGTGAAGCGCGCGCGGTGTGTAGAGGAGGAAGGGATGCACAGATGGTGGAAGAGTGGGCGATGGCGCGACGGCGCATGCGCGCGCGTCAGCTGTCGAATGTTCGAGAAGCGGTGCGGACGGCGCGGACGGCGCGGACGGCGCACTACAAGGCGCGAGTATAAGATGCTCCGCATCTAAAATACGAGTCATATCTTCAGCAAACATAGTAACGCTTTCATTGGGTTTCTGAACCCGTAGCTCCAACAGCTGCTGCGCACGGTCGCGTCGATCGACATTGGTGAACGTATCGACAAGCTGTTGTTGGAAGTCGCCCCAAGTTAACAGACTGGCTTCTCTCTTCTCATACCAAATTTTCGCACCGCCGTCAAGGTAGAAATAGGCGCGTGAGAGCTTTTCTTGTTCAGGCCACAGATTAATCTTGGCGACACGCTCGTAGTGCTCAAGCCAGTCGTCCACGTCTTCATGGGCGCCGCCACTAAAGTGATAGGGAACCAGCGGTTGAATTATGGATACCTGTGAAGGCTGTGTTGGCGGGGGACCTTGGGGCGCCGGTTGCGGACTGGCGTTGGCCATTTGGAGAGGTAATCGGCACTTGCGAGGTTCCGTGGAAGGCGTGAACTCTGGAGCGAGGCCTATCAGCCGCCGACTGAACCGATGCATGGGAGTTGCAATGGGTGACAATGCGTCCGAGCTAGGTGAACGGCTCCCAGTAGGAGTAAGGAGCATTAGGTAGGGTTGCGTCCCAGCACCTCCACCAGTGTCGCGGTACAGCGCGAACCAAAGGCAGATAAACGTTGACACAGCGACTCTCAGCAACCGAACAGCAAGATCGCCTTCTTTATCTTCAATCAGCCAGAGCTTCACTACCTGGTGTCCACCAAATCTCCTTATCGTCGTTTTGGTCCACCAGTACACACGCGTCAATATGATGAAAAGATGCGAGATGGTGGTACTTGGAGTGTTGACTAGATGGACGAACGGACACACAGACAGATGCATGGACGGATGCATAGACGGATGCACGGATGGCTGCACGGATGGATGGCTGCACGGACGGATGGACGCAGGGGCGGATGCATGGACGAACGCAGGGACGGACGTGTGGATGGACGTGTGGACGCACGAACAGACGCACGCACAGCCGGGCGGATGGACGCACGGATGGTCACACAGACGGACGCATGGACGGACGGAAGCAATAACGAATGGACGGACGGATGCTTCGCCCCACTCCCCATCATTTGCCCTGTGGATAGGCTGCCATTTTTCGTGCTGTTGGCTCATTCATAAGAGGGTGTCGCCAGAGCTCGGGAAGATCCCGTTTCGCGAAACTCGGCCGATCCTGCATGGTACCCCAGTTCTGGTTTCGTGAGGATGCGGCGTTGTTTGGTTCGATGCGCGAGGAGAGAGTGCTGGTTCCTCCTTGGCTTATCGAGAAACACACCTATTCGCAACGACTGAACGTGATCTTCTTCCTAATTGACTGCAGTGATTTCGTCCAAATAATCAATTGCAAAGCGCCTTTTCACACTTGCGGGAGAAAAATGAAACTAAAAGGCCTTCGCTAAGCATTATCAGGATCATAAGAACAGTTCTGCGACAACGATCAATCATACCTTCGAATATTACAAGCCAGACAATCGCAAAATTCACCAGATAAATTTATGTGACTTTGTTTGAAGAAGTAAGGTTTTGCCAAACTGTTCTTTGATTTCCGCGGCCGTAACATTCGTAGAGAGCTTCGTTCCCATAGTAGAGTCTTGAAAATATGTAACCATTTATCTATTTGACCCAAGGCCACTCTTACGGGACGGCTTTAAGCTCTCCCATAGTTGAGTACCCTGTGCTCTAAATCGTTACCTCCTTTTTCTAATCCACCCCCCCCCCCCCCCATAGTAGAGTACGTAGTACTTGCCCACATTTTCTAAACACCAAAACAACCGACATCCTTCTCTCAGCGTAACCACGGGGCGGCCTTAAGCTCTCCCATAGTAGAGTAACTAGTACTCTAAATTGTTACCCACTTTTTCTAAACACACAAACAAGGGACGGCTTTCTGCTCTCCCATAGCAGAGTACCGAGTACTCTGAATCGTTAAGCACTTTTCTTTTTTTGTGCGGAAAGAAATACATGAAAACAGCGAGTTGATGTATGACTACGAGTCACGACTGTGTGTGCACCTCGCGCCACGAACTTCAAACTACATCCCAGTGCTACTTCATCATTTCTTGCTTAAGGAAGTCGTTATTTTGTTATTATTCGGAAACATTTTAGAAGGACACTTCGCAGGTACACTTTATTCGGCAGCATATTCGTACTCCTCGATGATACTCTGGAAAGGCCAGCATTCGTTTGTGTAGAATAGCACGTACCGGTGTCCACGTTCCATTTTCTGAAGACCTGTTCAGTTGGAGTAAAAAAATAACAGTTCGCGCAGAGTCTATTCTCAACGGTATTTCGTTCTCTCGAAATGCGCTTGTTCGCGCTGCACTGTTCGCACTTAATCTACTACACGTCGCAGGAAGGCAACGCTCTTTCTACGGATATATATACATTTACGCAGGAAATACTGGCCCTTAGATGTAAACCATGTAAACAATTGAAATGGCAGCCTGCGGAATTTCGCTACATGATATCTATTGTTTTGATAAGCAGGATCTGATCTTTTCGATGCAAAAGTGCAGAGCTGCTTAGTGGCGGTGCTAAGGGCACTACCCTTTTAGACATGGCAACCATAATGCAGCAGTATTTAGCATTGTTTATGCATAAAAATGCTTTCACCTGTACGCGTAAATTGCACTTACAAAAAAGTGAAGTCACAGCCCGTACCGAAACAGCGCACATGGTAAGCCAAAACAAATAAAAAAAAGAAAGGATGTACAAGTAGAAAATACAATTGGCGAAGGCACCTTTAAAGTTCTCACAAGAACATGCCGTGACGTCAGAAAGCCTTTCACGATGTTTGCCACGCTCTCTGAAACTCTTCATCGGTAAAATTGTACTCAACGGAGAGGCATGACCTCTCGACTCCAACGTGGAATGAGCGGACGTCAATCCAGCGGTCCCCTTTAGGACAGCCCTGCATGGCTCGTCAGGACCTTAATCAAGTTCCTTGTCTATCTGTCTGATCAAGTTCCTTGTTTATCTGTCTGCTGTGCTGACCTGAAGGCATACTAGGAACGTTTACCGAGAGATAATGCGACCTAAATATAAGAAAAGGAGCTCAAATATGTGACGTCACGCTGACATTCGCGTACGTTAGAGTACCTGAATACTTTGGGAAGGGATATCAAGCGGTTTAATTTCAGCGCGATGTTTGGAAATGGTATATTCTGACGTTCGCTACCATTTGTGATCATTAAAACTTACCATGCTCCAGTTAACGTGTGTGGAGCTCAAAGAAAAATTGATTAGGTTGAGCAGTTGCAGTGATTCACCTAAGCACTGCTAAGTGAAATAAAGAATGCTGTTTTGAGAGAGAAAGAAAAAGAGCACCGGTAGTGCCTGTACGACAATATTATATAAGTACAGGCGCCATGCGAGCACAACTCCCACGAAATCACGGTGCTTCTTCTGCGTATCCTTGCGAACTCAGAAATGTAGTTCATTTGCAAAGCTCGGAAGGTAAAATGAAAGTTATCTCATTGTGTGAGCAGTGACGAACGCGCTGCGTTAGCTCACAAAATGTTCAAACAGTCAAGGTTGCCACGTCATGCTACCGTGAAGACGAAAATTAACACAAACGCGCGCGCAGTAGTCCAAGGTGAACAGACACAAAAAAGCTAGATTAGAGGTAATAACAATTTCCGGGTTTTACTTGCCAAAACCACGATATAGATTGGGTGTCGTACCATGCATAACCGAGGCTGATTTTTTATTTCACAGCGAGTGATGGTGGAGACATGAGATTAACTACAGACTTAGCGCTCACACGTGATCATATAGGGAAAAAAAGTCTTCATAGTAAACAAGCTTTCGCATCTGAGTAGCCTGTAGGAACCTTCGTCGGCCTCAGCTGCGGTAAGGTAAATGTCACTTTCTATCAAAACTGACCTTCCGTCGAGGCAAGCAACTGAAGTCCCCCGTGATCGTTCTTCTCAATCTCGGTGGCAGGCGTGAATACAAGGCGTAGAAGTGTACCATCACCATTACAATACTCACACGTAGCTTTGTCTGAAGTTGCTATAGCACGAGTTTCAAGCATTTCGTGAATAGTGAGTTCGACCTAATGACTTCCCTTTGAAGGGGACCTTCTCAACACCGTTTGTCAACACGAGCTTCAACCGTCGTTGCCACGTACAACCTTGTTGCAACCCGTTGAAATGAACCTGGCTTGCGAATAACTTGAAGGAGAGCAACAAAAAAAAAAGGCGAGGATAAAGCTGAACAACAAAGAACACAGGAGAAGCGCTCGGACGAGCGCAGCTCAGCGCTCGCACTGCTGTCTTTGTTGCTGAGCCCTTTCCTCTTTATTTTTATTTTTTGGCACGCTTCAAGTTATTCGCAAGATGGACTGAGTCGCCCCAACTAACAAGTTACCACAGCCGGATTCGTTTTTATATCTTTCTTTCTTCCTTCCTTAACTCGTCCAGATTCTCCGTAAACAAGGCGGCTACCCGATGGTGGTGCTCCCGGTGGCCGGCGGTTACTGGGTGGATGGCGTGGACTGCGCCTCCCCCTCGGACGTCTTCGACAGCGTCTTCGTGCCGGGACACTTCACGCCGGCCAAGATCAACAACCGGGAGATAGCCACCACCTACCGCAGGCATTTCCTCGGCAAGGTAGGCATCCTCTTCAAGCTCTGTAGTGTAGCCTTTGCGGTGGTATATGTAGCTTATGACAGGTAGATTGCCACTATCCCTCAAGAGAAAGGTATATACCAGCTGTATCTTGCCGGTACTTTGCTACGGAGCAGGAACCTGGATACTTACAAAGAAGGTTCAGCTTAAATTGAGGACAACGCAGCGAGAAATGGAAAGAAAAATGGTAGGTGTAACCTTAAGAGACAAGAAGAGAGCAGAGTGGATTAGAGAACAAACTGGGGTTAAGGATATTAGAGTTGAAATCAAGAAGAGGAAATGCACATGGGCCGGGCATGTAGCGCGTAGACAGGATAACCGCTTATCATTAAGGGTAACTAACTGGATTCCCAGAGAAGGCAAGCGGGTTAGGGAGAGACAGAAGGTTAGGTGGGCAGATGAGTTCAAGAAGTTTTCGGCTATAAATTGGCAGCAGCAAGCACATGACCGGGTTATTTGGCGGAACACGGGAGATGCCTTTGTCCTGCAGTGGACGTAGTTAAAATGGTGGTGGTGGTGGTGGTGGTGGTGGTGGTGGTGGTGGTGGTGGTGGTGGTGGTGATGATGATGATGATGATGATGATGATGATTATGGCTTATAGCGTGACGTGGTATTCCGCTATACTGTTCACAGAATACCGCGTTATACCAAACGAAAGCACCGACATATTGTGGTCCGCTGCGGTGGTGTAGCTGTTTACGGTGCTCGATGGCTGACTCAAAGGTCGCGGGTTCGATGCCGGCCGTGGCGGTCGCATTTTAATGGAGGCAAAATGGTAGAAGCCGGTGTACTTTGCGATGTCAGTGCACGTCAAAGAACACCAGATTGTCGAAATTTCCGCAGCCCTCCACTACGGCGTCCCTCGTGATCATCTCGAGGTTTTGTGACGTTAAACCCCGGATGTTATCATTGTCACCGACATCCTGGCACCCTTTTTCGTGCAATAATATATAATTACAAACGCGTTTGCTTGTTTTCATCCAGTGTCCTTGAAGAAACAAGATTACAGAGGCCATTCATTCGATTGTAGAGGCTGCTCACAAAGGCAGAATGCACTGGGTTTCCGGAATAGCAATTAGACGTTCGCCCAGTGCACATGGGTCAAGCTAGAACTATCGGTAATCGGACTGCTTGTCTTTGAGAGGATGGGAAGATGGGGAAGTTCGTATACTCGCATTACAAAAAGAAGCAGTGCAAAAGGGTGGAGACAAAGCGGAATGAACTTAAGACACAGAGCAAGCCTTGTAAACGTTATTTCGCTTCGTTTCTTTTCATAGTACTGCTCTTTACACAATAACTTATCGCTGTGCATATTGTCTCCTCTGGCACAAGCGCCGTAATGACACCAAACGGATAAGAACGACGAAGTTTTTGTTGTGGGGCTGAGTCCTAGCTTCCCTGCTGTCCTTCGTTCGTGTGCGCTGTGTGCAGTGTTAACCCGACCGGCGTTTACTCAATAAATACTTCTCGTTACAACTTCAAGCGCGGACGTAGAAGAAAACTAGAGAGTTCTACGTGTACGTTAGGGACTTTCTGGAGACAGTGTCGGTCAAAATAGCAGCTTCAGGGCGCGTAATCGTTATTTTTTTTTTTGCAGATTGCCTGTAAAGAGTAATTACAAGTAGGTTTAGCATTAGAACCGGATATAAAAAGACGCGAAAATTTAACACAACGTAATCTTGTCTGTTGTCTTCCTCAAGCCTTCCTATGTTTTTTTATTTAATTCAACGTTATTGTTTTACTTATTCGCATTTGAGTAATTTTAAAAGAGATTCCTCTCCTCAAGTGGTGGACAATACATGTGCAAAACCGACGAGCTTGCGCCCTCGACTCTGTGTTCGGCTATTCTATGCACAATCGTCGTCATCATATCATTACCTTTATCATCTTTTACGCCCACTGCGCCACTAATGCCTCGGCCGGGGATTTCCACTTAAGCCTATCCTGCGCAAGCTGATTCTATTATGTGAGCGAATTTCTGAATTTCGACACACTACCGTCAGGTGTCCAAGCCGATAACGTGGTCGACATGAAGTGGAGCTCGACAGGTCGCGTAATGCGAGGAACAGGTGAACGAAAGCCAGCAAGTTCAACGCAATGTGCACGTAGCGATTGGAAACGCAGCTGCGAACGGCACTGTTTTAGGTTGTTGTAGGTGGGTTGATACACAATGGAAAGGCTCTTTTTACGACAGAGTCAATGTGTTCCGCGGGAAAGACAACTACGTGAGCGGAATCCGGTTCAATGTTTTGTATAGCGAAATCTTTCAATGTTCAAAATCTTGCGTGCCACTTCTCGATCGTGAAGGTCGGATCGCCATCACAGCCTAAGCTGTCTCGAAGAAAACACCATTAGACAGCGGGTCTCTTTTTTTCTTTATCGTTATGGAAGTCGCTGTTTGACAGTGAGGCGCAACAATAAGGAAAGAGTCTGTTCTCAAGGTTTCGAGCCGAGTTTACTTCCGATACTTCAAACTGAGTGCGTCCGCAGGGACGTGACCCGCGTTTAAGATGTATGGACGTAGCAGTATCAACCTTCTCGACTCCCCCCTCCCCCACTTTAAAGTGCGCGATGCAGCGTCACAGTGCGTCGGCCCAGTTGAAACACGGGCTTTGTCCTTGCTCCACATTCTCGGAGTGAAGCCTGTTCTCGCCCAAACACATGTTCATCCCCTGAAAAAAAAAAAAAAGTTTCCTTCTTCTGAGGTGAAAGGAACGATACGTTATGTTCGATTTTCCTGTGGTCTGTATTCATTCCTTCAATTGTTTCCGGGTCCCCTGACAACGTCCACCTGCGACCACAGCCTGTTGCACAATAGGGACTTGAATCGTATTGTTTATTTTTATTGTCTAAGCATCAGAACGATCGCGCGAGACTCGTTGGTCTGCGTTGGTTACCTCGTTCTATACGAAAGATGATGATATGTGGGGTTTAACGTCCCAAAACCACCATATGATTATGAGAGACGCCGTAGTGGAGGGCTTTGGAAATTTCGACCACCTGGGGTTCTTTAACGTGCACCTAACTATGAGCACGCGGGCCTACGACATTTCCGCCTCCATCGCAAATGCAGCCACCGCAGCCGGGATTTTAACCCGCGACCTGCTGGTCAGCAGCCGAGTACCTTAGCCACTAGACCACCACGGCGGGGCTTCTATACGAAAGATGAGCGAAGGGCAGCGATGGTCGTCCAATGTTTGAATATGTTGCTATCGCATTCACTGCTTGGCATTTCCGGCGAAGCAGCGACATTCAATTTGTTCACTCAACAAAGTGTCATTGAGACACGCCGCGTAGAAAAAATCGAAGTTCAAATATAGGCGCACAAGCGTTAAATTCCTTCCACTCTCGAGCTCTCGTTCTGCATGCCAGGTTTAATTAAAAATAAGTGAGACAACATTTTGATGACATGCAGCTCTAATAATCGAATAAATCAATTTAGACATGATAGAACAGGGATAAGCCTAAACAGCGCGTTTTTAATGGGGCATTATGAAATGAATTGGGCAAAAATTATCTCCTGGGGAATGGTCACACTGGGCGTATACGCATTATATGCGTCAAAATTAACTAATTATTCGCTAACTGTATACGGCTACCTAAGCAAAAATTGTCCAGCAGATAACTGCCAGATGAAGTTGACTATACTTAAAACTGATCATCGTTTCTGCTATTTACATTATTGTTCTGACTGAATAACTGCTAATTACCCTCGTTGTTTTGAATTAATTACGATGTAGTAATTGAACACTCATAATTATTGGCTACTTAGGTTACAACTAAGCTTGCTTGAATAAATTACAACTAATCTTGACCAATTCAGTACAATCCTACATGGCTTAAGCATACCTGCATGTGCTGCGCTTCTTGGCACTTCCGCCTGTCACGCTGTGGACAATACCCGACTGGAAGCAAGGGGCTATATGAATGCTCACACAATAAAATGAGGACATGGTCTACGATTGGCATACTGATGAGGTGGGGCAGAAGGGCTCTTTCTAGAATCTTAATTATTTTCTTGACTAATGAATGCGTGGACGAAATAGCACTTGCTAGCAAAGGCTCTACTAGACCCGTGACTTACGGGCTTAGTGAGTGGTCATTTGCATAAAGGTTCCATGTGTGGTCGATATAGCGGCGGGTCACGACTCGTCGCCAACTGCAGTTCGTAACTACGTCACCACTGTGGAAGACTGCCACGTGCATCTGCAATTGGCTGGTGGGTCTGTCGGCTCGGGTCGGGTACGGTCGGGTCAGTTCGGTCGTTTCGGTTAGGGCGGTCTGTGAACGTTATTTACAAATTGACCTGAGGAGACGATACCCTCCGATAGATAGGGCCGATTGCGGGCGGCACCCACGTGGGGACAGGAGGGGTGAGCCGCTCTGAACATCGCGGCATTGGGACCACATTGCCTTGAAAAGCAACGCTGAAAATTTGGCATCGACGTTTGGCCAGTCGTCAATGGTATATAGTGCGTGCTCACTGGGAAAGTTTCACAACACAGAGAAAGCGCTTTGATAAGGAGGACTAGAGTCAGCGTCAGAGCTCTGCATTCGATTAGAAAGGAAATGACGTAACAGCACATATCGGCCAGACCGCGGCGATAAGTCTGTGGATCTGCTGTGTTTATGAATCCTATACACAAATGCAGTTATGTTATGGAGGAGAAAATAAACGTTTACTTAAAGTAACGGTGTCGCGCTGCTAGTCCCTCTTCTATCCTAAGCGGGAGGTCTCCTCATTCCGGGAACCTTCTGGCCTTCGCTGTGTGCTTGGCCCTGTCGACGAGACGGGACACCAGCGGTATACTAAGTAACTTACTGTATTCTGTGTCAAACGAATATCTCCGCCCAATTTTCGGCGTACCTACCCTTATGTCAAGCTCACTTGAAAACGACACTTGATTGATTGATTTGTGGGGTTTAACGCCCCAAAACCACCATATGATTATGAGAGACGCCGTAGTGGAGGGCTCCGGAA